CCAGTCACTAAAGATAAAATCAGTGAGGTAGCACAGCCGAGGAGAAAATGCATGTTGCCAGGTTTGTGAAAAGCAGCACAAGAAACAAGGACATTTGGCTCCTTGCTCACCCAGCTGCAGTTTCCTCCTCAGTATTGCTCTCTCTCCTTTGAGGGAAATGATGCTAAGAGAATGTATGAGGCAAGAGAACATTTGGTCATTGTGGGAGAATGTGCTTAAGAAAGAACAAAATAACTCAAAGTAGCGCAGAGTAATTTGTGTATGTGCAACAAAGTGGGAGAGCCAGAGAAATGCTACGGAAAAAAATAACTGGGTGTGACCTTGCTGCAATAAAAAACTTCTGTGTTTTGGTTTTGCACCTCTAAGCACATGGTTTCATGTTATTATTCACAGAGACACTAAATAGGTGGTGATGTGTCTTGAAGAGGGCTGTGAATCAGAGTTTTGAGATTCCTGTTTTCTTGCTTTTCTTCTACTTGAATTTGATAAACTGCACGCTCCCCACCCCCGGAAATATTATGTGTATTATGCTCTTTTGCTGTTTGCTCTTTAAGTAAAAGTAGCTACTCAAGATATGCTACCATCGTTATACTGAAATATATCCCTACTGCTTTTATAGAGCACAGTTTTCTAAGCAAGTCTTTTTGTGAAAGCCAGTTCCTACTTTCTGTCTCTTGGTTGTTCTTCAAAATAACCAAGTATGATGAAGGAAAATGGATTATGCAGAAAAGAGGCAGGTGAAATTCCTCACCTCTGACGTGCTGGATAGGTGCTAAGATGAGAGTGGGCCTGTTCATCACTCTTCATCCAGCAATAGCAGTTTTAATGATGGACTACAGGGTTGTGTAGATGGGAAGCAGACAAGGGTCTTTCTCTCAGCCTTTTGGGTTGTTGTCATCATATTCTAATCTGGGGAGGGGAAAACCTCTGGTCATTCGTAGAATTTTTGCTCTAAATAAGATAGGCACAGCATTTAGAAGAAGAAGAAGAAGAAGAGTTTGGATTTGATATCCCGCCTTTCACTCCCTTTAGGAAGTCTCAAAGCGGCTAACATTCTCCTTTCCCTTCCTCCCCCACAACAAACACTCTGTGAGGTGAGTGGGGCTGAGAGACTTCAGAGAAGTATGACTGGCCCAAGGTCACCCAGCAGCTGCATGTGGAGGAGCGGAGACGCGAACCCGGTTCCCCAGATTAACCACTACACCACACTGGCTAACACTTTTAATAGACTGAGAGACATGTTTTGACTTCAAAATCAGTCAAGGGAGAGAGGCTGAAGCCTTTTTGTACAAATTCCATTGACCCCCCATTTTTGTACTGTATTTTGTCTCAACAGCTTGGGCCCTGTATTTGCTCTTTTTGTACCATTTTATTGCTCCATTCCAAGAGTGCAAGTGACACAAATTCTAGGCCAGTTTTCCATCACAAACAAGACACTGGTCTATATATTGGGTTTGCAGGTACAGTATGTATTGATTTGCTTGCTTTTCATTTACTTAGCAGTGCAGCAACTTTCATTTCCTTGCAGCGTTTTCCAGAACTCCCCCGTATTATATACTCTGTTTCCAAGTATTTACTCCGAAGACACAATAGAATTGTTTGAATTGGGAACTTTTCAATTAATGCTGCAGTGCATGGAGTTGCATGATGAACCTGAAGTGCTCGCTAATTTTGCAAATGTTAGTGACAGTAATCCAGAGACCTTGTGGAAAATGGGATTCAGTGAGTGTCCATTGTTTCTCCCTTTTCCATAGCTGTTAGTGGATAACAGCCCACTTTCTGCATGTCTAGTATTTCCCATTGATAAAATTTTATTGATTAGGTAGGGTGAGATGGTTCTCCTTGGGGTTTAAAAATGAGTATTTTAAACATGTTAAGAAAACAGGAGGCTACTGGAGCCCCTGGGCCTTGAACTGGGAGTCCTAGGGACCTAGGTCGGCTAGGCCTGGTATATGATGCAAAGTCTCTGTCTTCTGAATAGTTAACAGAGCAGTGCATTCTGCTTAATATAATAATAACTTCAGCTCAGATGCTGATGTTTGAAATCTTAAAGTAGAAATGCATCCCTTGAGTATAGCCTCAAACCTGGCTCTGCTGACAGCCATTCGTTATTTCTAATAACAGAGGAAAATAAAGTACATGCTCTGCAAAGTCTGTTATTTTGATCATTTTTATCTTACAAGTAAGGCGATAACTGCTAGCATCTAGTCTAGATGTTTATCTCAGCTTCAGTTATACTTGGTGTGCTTTCCTTTCTTATCATGACAAACTGGTAGGTGTGCCGTTAAAAACTTCACCATGTGCAACAGAGATTTTGCTCGATCATGTGGTTTTGTCATTTGAATGTGCTTTTCTCGTGCCGACTAAATGCCTGTCCAACATATGGCACACATTGAAGCAGTTTGTCAGAATTCAGTGGCAAGACTTGTTAAAAAAATATTATCGATCCAGAAAGTTCTAAAAAGATTGAAGAGCTGCACATAACAATAGCATAATTTATAAAATAAATACAGTGGAAATTGCCAGTTTTTTATTCATCTGTTCCATGTTCATTTTGGGGTTGTTTTTTTATTAACATTTTGCAGAAGAAGGGGAATGAATATGCCACTGTCAGGTTATTACTCATTTCTGCTTCTCCTGCACTATGTACACAACCGTTTCCTTTTAAATACTTCTTCCTCTGGCTTCAGCATCTTCTTGTGTCTCATCTTTCTGCAACTTCATATCTCCTTTCCAACCCTTCTCTCCGTTTAAAGTATTTTACCCATGGTTTTTAAATAGTAGAGATGGGGAGTCTAATGAAGAAAAGTCATTAAGTCCATCTTTGCCTGTAGAAGTAAATTCTGAAGAAAAAAGGGTCAGATCCAGTTGCACTTTACTGCACAACAATCGTCAGCAGATTGGTGCATGGTTTTTCAACTGTATTCTCCCTCTCCTTTTTATATATGCAATTGGACTCAACCCCCCACCACCAACCAGGCACCATTACTGAAACACCATATTCCAAAAGATTTAATTGGCAAATTGTTTCCACCAAGGTGTTTTCATTGGTTGTGGTCTAGCTTTGTTTCTTGTTCTATCCCCTTTGGTTTCGATCACTTTCCTACTCACACAGATTTACTGTGATATCTGCTACATTATTTATTGGTAGCAATACTCAACCAAAGCATTGTGTAATAAAAGTTGCGTTTTTAAACTGTGCTTTTTTGTCTTGTAGCTTTTAACTTCTGGGTCTTACATCTGGATTGTAGCTTTAAGTGGGCTGGTAAGTGTATTTCATTACTGTTTTCTTTACAACAAGTTAACAGTTTTCAGCACTCACATGCACTTTTCTGTTTTAATATTTACAGCCTTTACCAAATTCAATTCAGCTGACGTTCTTAACAACAATAACAACAAAAAATTGTGGCCACATAAACTTTGCCTGTTATTTCCCTTCCAGCTTGCTCCGTTGCTCAGTACATAGGCTAGCTTTCACAGAGAGATGGCTGCTACATTACATGTACTCTACACTCCATTTAATTAAAAGAAATCCCAGTGGTAACTGATAGAGCCTTTGATACAGTTTATAAATCTATACATTGTCAGTACTTATCCATTACAAAGAGGACTGTCATGATAGGAATGATAGAAGGGAGGAATGCTTTAGGGGGGTTTCTTCTTCAGGGTTTGCCAAGAGCTACGGGAGATTTCCCAGAAGGAGAGGGTTTGTGTTCCCTGCACCAATTCTACAGCTGGCCAGTGAACTGGGCATGGAGTGATGCCTTTTTAGGCAACACAAAAGGTTAGGCGCAGTTGTTGGATATTCACAGAGGAAGCTGGGGCACCAAACTGGGTTGTTTGAATAGCTCTGTGTTTGATGCTGGCTTGTTCAACAAACCACGGTTAAAAATATTATTATTATTATTATTATTATTATTATTATTATTAATTTATACCCTGCCCATTGGCTGGGTTTCCCCAGCCACTCTGGGCAGCTTCCAACCAAATATTAAAAACAATACAGCATCGGACATTAAAAAATTTCCTAAACAGGGCCGCCTTCAGTTTTCTTTTAAAGTAAAATAGTTCTTTATTGCCTTGACATCTTCTGGGAGAGCGTTCCACAGGGCAGGCGCCACTACCGAGAAGGCCCTCTTCCTGGTTCCCTGTAACCCCACTTCTTGCAGTGAGGGAACCGCCAGAAGGCCCTCGGCGCTGGACCTAACTAAGACTTAGCACAGCGCTTTCTAGACTTGGTAACCTCCAGATGTTGCTGGATTATAGCTCTTACCACCCCATCAACCATTGGCCATGCTGGCTGGTGTTGATAGGAATTACAGTCCGAAACATCGGAAGGGCACCAGACTTGGGAAGGCTGGGTTAGCGCTATGTCCAAATGTGGCAAAAATGGCTTGCGTCACTTACTACCAGTTGTGTCATGAGCAGTGCCCATTAGATGACCATGGCAAACTCTAATCAAGAGTAACTAGGTACAGTACCTTTGATGTCCACATTTGAGCATTTTGCTTTGGTTCCGGGTGGGGGGGGGGGAAGAGACACAATTTTCCCTGGATATTGGCTGGATACATGGAAGTGAAGTAAGTTACAATGGAAGTTCCACTGAATGCTTCCAAGTAAGCTGCATAGGATTGGGATTTGGCCATTCAGGTTCACTCAGCACAAAAAGAATAATCTGGAAAGTCCCTTAGAATGTAGTGGTAGGAAACATTTTCTATCTCGTTTATATTTTTCCGTATCACATGAGTGAGGGTTTTTTTTGTGACCAGTAAAGATTGGATCATAAGTTCAGTGTTGTGTTGTATTTTAAATTCTGTAGCCAGTTGCTTCCTTTTTGATAAGAGAAGTCTAATAATCACAACAGAAGAAGCGATAATATGGGAGGTTTGCGGATTTTTATTTGAGTAATTATATCCTACCCTTCATTGAGGTTTCCAGGCAGCTAACATAATCAAGTACACAATTTACTTGTGCACAATTTAGAATTTGCTGGCACCACTGGATAGCTCAGTTGTTAGAGCATGGTGCTGATAATGCCAAGGTTATAGGTTTGATCCCCATATGGAACAGCTGCGTATTCCTGCAATGCAGGTAGTTGGCTTTGATGGTCCCTTCAAACTCTACAATTCTATGGTTGCCATACAGCTGTGAGATAAATTAAAACAGAAGGGTACTGAATGTTTAAAATACCACTAACAAAAACGAAAGACATAAGAGCAGCCTAAAACTCCATAGAAAAAATTAAGGTAAAGGTAAAGGTACCTGTCAGGGAACTGCCATCGGACGGAAGGGAGGTGAAAGGGCTCACACAGGTTGGGAGAGACGCAGCAGCTGAAGAGGAAACCAACAGGGAGGTGAAAGGGCTCACACAGGTTGGGAGAGACGCAGCAGCTGAAGAGGGAACCAGCAGGGGGAGAGGAGCTGAGCTGGAGGGATGGCTCAGAGACACTTCCAGCGAAAACAGTGGAGAGGTTTCAGGACCTCCTGTAAGAACACCCACTCCTCGCCGGAAACTGTCACGCAGAGATTCCAGAAGACGTGTTTCCGTTAAGGAGCTTTTATGTTGGAAGCGATTACGAAAGCAACCACTGTCGGAATCTGCTAGTGACTAGAGTAGCCATGTCTGAGGGGCTCCGTCACAGACAGAGGTTTGTGGACTTGAACAAACTCTGAGGGGATACGATTTTACGCACAAGCAGCTCATCATCCCATCACAGCATTCCGACAGTCTTTGAAAGCAGCTTGTGCAGGAGAAGGCATCATGAGCAACCCAGCCGGAACCGGAGAAGCAGGAGCTGGAGCGGGTCCAAGCCTGGAAGAAAGGTACCAGATGTTGGAGGTCCAGCTAGCGATGCAGACGGCGAGGCTTGAGGAGAGGAGGGCTCAGGATGCAGACAAAGGGGAAAGCCACCCAGTTCGCCAGAAAGGTACCAGGATTGGTGCAGAAGTTTGGGGGGGAGCCCAAAACTATCATGGTTTTCGGACAGAAATGCAATATGCCCTCAATCTGCAGTTTGATGAATTCCCTGACGAGGAATCACGAGTGGCTTTCGTGATTGAGCATCTTGAAAAGGGGGCGAGAGACTGGGTTAGACCCCTGATGGCAGCGAATAGTGACGTCTTAAAAGACACGATGAAGTTCTTTCGCGCCATGGATCTGATGTTTTCCAGCGATATTGAAAAGGGAGTGGTGCGCAGACAGTTAATGGGTTGCAAACAGGGGAGCCGATCTGTCCGTGAGTACTGGACTGAGTTCACCATGCTTGTTCACAGATTGGGGTGGGACTTATCGGCGGAACCCATTCAAATGCTCTTTGAAGAAGGGCTTTCTTCGGCTGTGAAAGACGAACTTTCCCGGGCGCCCAGGGCGGAGTCTATGGACCAGCTGACCAAATCAGCGCTGGCCATAGGAGCGCGCCAGGAGGCGAGAGCATTGGAGAGGCGGGAAGGGAAAGGGGAACGTTGGAAGGAGTTCTGCATTCCAGACATTCCAGAGCCAACTTTCCCACCGGCAGAGCCGATGGAAATTGGAACAGCGCGCGCGCGCAGTTTCAAAGCCCAGTGAGGGGGCAAAGAAGGAGGGAAAAGGCGCCCGGAAATGCTATCTCTGCCAACAGCCAGGTCACTTTGCCAGAGTCTGCCCCCAGAGGAAAGAATGGCAAGGGATGGTAGGGGCTGTGGATGGAAGAGAGGAAAATATACCGGAGCAAGTACAAGCCAACGCCTGGCTGCCACTGTCGGCGCACAGCAGCCAGGCCAAAGAGCAGTGAGAGTGCCCACGCCAGAACCTCCTAAACCCGCCCTAGTGATAGAAGTAACGCTAGAGCTGCCAAACGGACACCCTCTAAAGATAAAGGCGCTGTTGGACTCAGGCAGCTCCTGCAATTTCATGAGCAAAGAGTTTGCAGCTGAACACCAGATACAGACAATCCCTTTAAGCAGCCCCCTGCAGGTGACCACGATCGATGGCAGGGAGCTGTTGGGTGGAGAAGTCAGCTTGCAGACCGTCCCAATGATAATGAAGGTAGCAAGGCACACCGAACTGATAGCTTTTAATGTGGCCACCTTGGGAGGAGCTCCCATTATATTGGGGATGAGCTGGCTAGCGTTACATGATCCGCTGGTGGGCTGGCATCAGAGAGTGGTTTCCTTTGGTTCAGCACATTGCTTAGAACACTGCAAAGAGGGAAAGGGTTTGGCAGGGGTCCAAGCCACCCTAGCAGGGACTGAAGTAACAGAGAACGTGAAGGTACCACGACAATATGCAGATCTCCGTGACGTCTTCAGCGAAAGGAAGCTGACCAACTACCCCGCATAGACCCTTTGACTGTCAAATCAACTTACTCCCTGGAGCACAGCTCCCTGTAGGCAAGCTGTACGCCATGTCAGACAGAGAGATGCAGGAGTTAAGAGAGTTCATTGACAAGAACCTGAAGAGAGGGTTCATCAGAGAGTCCAGGGCGGTGGGGGGCAGCCCAGTGTTTTTGTGGATAAGAAAAACACGAACAAGCCGAGGCTGGTGTGTGACTTCAGGGCCTTAAATGCAGTGTCAGAACCAGTAGCCTTCCCTATGCCCAGGATTGACGACATTTTGACAAGGGTGCGGAAGGGAAAGATTTTCACAAAGCTGGACCTAAGGGGGGCGTACAACCTGGTACGAATAAGGAAGGGGGATGAATGGAAAACCACTATGTTCACCCCTTTAGGGGCATTTGAATATTTGGTTATGCCCTTCGGCCTACAAGCAGGCTCCGCAACATTTCAATCGTTTATGAACCACGTCCTGGGGCCTTTGCTTTACAAGAATTGTGTGGCCTTTTAGACGACGTGTTGGTGTATTCTGAGAATGAGGAGCAGCATGTGAGAGACGTCAGAGAAGTGTTGAGCAGGCTGCAAGCCAACCAGCTGTGGGTGAAACTGGAGAAGTGTCAGTTTCATACCAAGGAGGTGGAATTCCTGGGGTATCGCCTGTCAGACAAGGGATTGGCCATGGATCCCGGCAAGGTCCAGGCGGTGCTGGAATGGAAAACACCCAAAACAAAGAAGGATGTGCAGAGGTTCCTAGGATTTGGGAACTTCTATCGTAAGTTCATCCGAAACTTTGCCCACCTGACGGCGCCCATTACGGACTGTCTCAGCAGTAAGAAGAAGTTCGTGTGGACTGAGGAGGCGGAGCGAGCATTTGAGGAACTAAAAGGGCCTTCGCCTCGGAACAACAACTCCTGCATGTGGATTTACAAAAACCGATGAGAGTGGAAACTGACGCATCAGACAGAGCGATTGGGGCGGTGCTTCTGCAGCCAGGCAAGAAGGGGTCAGAGTGGAGACCGTGTGCCTTTTTTTCGCGAAAGCTGAACAAATCCGAGAGGAACTACACGGTGTATGACCGAGAACTACTAGCCATTCATGAGGCGTTCCGGAGATGGAGGCACCTGCTAATTGGCGCACAACATAAGGTGCAAGTGTGCACTGACCACAAGAACCTAGAGTATTGGAGGACGGCACGAGTGCTCAACCAACGGCAAGTGAGATGGGCCCAGGAGTTCTCCAAATTTAACTTTGAGATTAGTTACGTGCCAGGGCCAGAGAACATTAGGGCGGACGCTCTCTCACGCAAACCTGAATATTTGGAAGGGGAGGGGGCACCCGAAGAGAGACATGTCATTCCAGAAGACCGCTGGGTGTGTGGGGCGGCATTGGTGGGACAAAGAGAACTGGTAGAGGAAACAGAGAATGATGAATACGCCCAGAATAAGCTCAGAGGTCTTAGGGGTGATGGAGAGGAACCAGGGGTTTCGAGGAAAGAAATGGAGCTTTGTATTACAAAGGGGCACTGTATATCCCTGAAGGAGAGTTAAGGGGAGGGTACTCAAGCAGTTGCACGACAGCCCTACGGCGGGGCATTTTGGACAACACAAAACCATGTGGTTGGTCACCAGGGAATTTTGGTGGCCTAAGGTGAGGGAAGATGTACGTGAGTATGTAAGAGGGTGCGAGCAATGCCAGCGAGCCAAAGGGGAAAGGCGGGCGCCGGCGGGGCTATTAGAACCCTTACCAACCCCAGAACGACCTTGGGAGGCAGTGTCGATAGATTTTATGACTGATCTGCCGAAGTCCAAAGGGAAAACAGCCATCATGGTGGTGGTAGACCTACTAACAAAGATGTGCCACTTTGTAGCTTGCTCGCATGCAGTCACGGCGGAAGAGACAGCGAAGTTATTTGTAGAAAACATTTTTAGGTTGCACGGGGTGCCATTGAGGGTGGTCTCAGACCGAGGAAAACAATTTACTTCCAGGTTCTGGAGGAAGCTCATGAGCTTACTGCAGGTGGAGGTCAATTTTTCGACTGCCCGGCACCCTGAAACCAACGGGCAGGCGGAAAGAGCAAACGGTGTCCTCCAGCAATACCTGAGGTGTTATGTCAATGACAGAGAGAATGACAGGGTAGAAAAGTTGGCGCTGGCGGAATTTGCCTACAACAATGCCGAGAATGTGTCCACAGGGATGAGCCCCTTCTTGGCTAATTATGGGTGTCATCCCAGGGCTTTCCCAGCGGCAGAGGCGGAGAGATGGAGCATCCCGGCAGCCGAGCATTTTGTGGAAGAAATGGAAGCAATCCATCGTCAGCTCCAACTCAACTTAGAAAGGGCGAAGGAAGAATACAAGAGGCAGGCAGACAAGAACCGAAGGGAAGGTGAAACCATAAGGGTGGGAGATAGGGTGTGGCTGTCAACCCAAGGGTTGCCGCTCAAAGGAGGTTGTAAGAAATTAAGACCCAGGAGGTTGGGTCCCTTTGAGGTCATTCAACAGGTCAACCCAGTGGCTTTCAGGCTCCGGTTACCCAACCACATGAAACTGCACCCAGTATTTCACAGGTCGTTACTGTCACCGTACGAAGGGGGACGAGAAGGGCTGGCCACTCGGGGACCGGTCGTAGAAGAAAGAGAATGCAGCAGCCATGTGGCAGAAATCCTCGACGCCAGGTGGAAGGGGGATCAGGTGGAGTATTTGGTAGCGTGGGAAGGAGAACCGGAGTCAGAAAACACTTGGGTAATGGCTGAAGATATCA